AAGTATGAACAACCGAATGGTTTCCAAACAGATTTCTGGGTAAATGCTAACTCAACGGCGTCAGTATAATAATAATAATAAATGGGCTTCATTCATTGACATACATTGTTTATAAAGAAGAAGTGGATACAAAAATCAATGAAAGGACGAAGTTGAGCCGAGGCAGTTTTACAACTTAACCTAGGGGATAGCATGTATTATATAGAAATATAAAAATAATTATCTAGTATATATTGGTAAGTGAGAAGTTCATGAATGGAGTAGTGTCTAAATTCACTGGGCAGAGCGTTATATTGTTGGATAGAGTTGTAAATAAAATTACAAGAAAAGCAGGTTGGCGAGTGTTTTGGAATAATAAAAGTGTGACGGTTTCGTGTCCTCGAATTATTCTGAGATTTGAAAGTTTTATATCTTCCATAAATATAATTTGGCTTTTTGTAAATGAGGAATTTATGTGTATTGACGAGTGGTGGAACTGCCAGCCCTCAGAAGTCGAAACTTGTGCGAGCTAAGGATTAACGAGGTCCTACCTTTTAATGTGTGGTTCCTAACACGGGTTGGACGATAGCAAGTGAAAATCGATCGTTCAGACTAGAGCTTGAACCACCGACCAACACAGCAGTCAATTCGAGTGAGTGAACAAAGCACCCATGTCGAACCACCTGGCTACCGACCGATTTTGAAATAAAGAAGAATCCGATTGGACATTGGAAGTCCGAACTAATGAAATTCAAAACTTTTCAAATTACATTTTATTGATCACATGAATATGCAGCTCCACAATCTCCGTATTTATTATACTTTCCGAGCTCCCAGTGGTGAAAGTCGATTTTCAAGTACCCGGTATTCATATCTACCAAATTGATCGTCCAATTCTTCTTGATGATCTATCTATATTGTGTCAGATTCAGAAGAATACTTTAGATTAACCAGGGTTCTGTAGGTCACATATCATTCCCATGCCGGACGTTGATGTTCTATCTGTGCAAACTAGTCCAAATTGCTTCCTCGAACAGAGATAACATGAAAATAATGGATCTAATTCTCAAAACGAACGAGCGTGAATGAAAGCGAGCTCGAGGATATCAAGAGTTTAAACGGTCACTTAAACGGCAGTTTCCAAATGCGCGCTAACAATTTTAAAAATAGTTTTCGGGGGAAATGAAATATTAGAGCCAGTTTTGCGAAGCTTAATCGGCTGTAATTAAGTCCCGGAAATAAATGAATCGTCGCCCCGACTTTGCAAAACAGAGCGCTTGTACGGTAATTTCATAATTTGATTTCGTCCCGAAGCAAAGTAGGCGGTGAAATTATGAACTCTGATCAGGTTTGGTACTACGAATAACTCAAATTTGATAATTCTTTCCACTAAGATGTTTCATTCTGACAATCACTACACAAGGCGAATCAAAATAATTTTTGATAATACAAACCAATTTAAAGAAACACGCACGATTGATTTTACTCGAAATGTTACTTGATCTACCCATAAAAAAATCAATTGAGAAACTAGTTGAGAATATCTGTAGGGAGACTACAGAAGTGAAACTTCTTTACGCGCGCTTGGCTTGGGGAATAAGCTGGTGAATTCGTGACCAGAGCGTTACGAAAAGTGTGATCGGACAAGGCGAACGGAAATTGAGAGGAAGGTATAAGTTATTCGTTTCGTTTATTACCGTAGGGGCGAGAGAGAGTGGCGTGGACACATTTACGGTCAAGTAGGCTCTAAAGAATTAAGAGAAAACTACCATACGTTAACCCTAATTTGGCGTCCGAAGATGGTCAACTCTTGGTAAAATTTCTTGAAGATGCATTAGAACTACAAATGAATAATAGCGGAAAGGAGTCATCACAAGAGATGAAACAACAATCGATGCGTATGTATTGTCTCCGAAAGAACATTGAACTAAAAAGTTGAAAATATTTTTTTAAGCTTAAAACAATAACGAACAAAAAATACTAGTATTATTGTGAAAAAAGTGTGGACGCTTTGTGCCACATTTTTTGTATATCAAGCACCTGTCTCAATTTTCATTATTGAGATATTCAGTGATTACTATGGGCTCAAGACTGCTTGTAAAAAGGGATCAGAAAGGAATCATTTTTAGGAAAATATTTGACTCAAAAATATATATTCATCAGTCTTTGAATTACTTTATTTCCATTTTCATGGAAAGCTCAATATGAGCTTCGAAAATAAATATGTACAACTCTGAAAGAGAATTATTGATGGGTAATGGAAAACGGCAATTGAAAATACATTGAATGATTATAAACGTGACATATTTCAATATCAACTTCCTTCATTTCATCACCTTTCACCAAGAATTTCTGACCAAATCCGAAAATACATGTTATCTGTATACAAAGAAATTTGGAGGACCATTATTATATTCAAATGGGTCTCACAAGTGTTGTTATATTCCGTAAAGCTGGCTCGAAAACGGATTATCTACAGCAAATGCATAGAAATGAATATGAAAGGACGATGTTTGCTACAAGCCGTAAAGAGCTAAAATAACACATGTGACAAAGGCAAGCTCTAAAGACAACGTTTGGAATGAAATGAGCATAGGTATTCATTGCCATGCATGAGAGTGCATGCATGAAATATTTTCATTTCATTGGAATAACGGATAGTATCTATTCATTTCGTACTTGAGTATTATTCAATGAAAACAGTTCTCGTTTTATGTGTGATAAATGTTTCAATGAAAAATACCAGTTAATCTAGATTATTTTTAATAAGTATATAAAACGTTAGAAGAAGTAGGTAGTTTCGATGCATTATTTATCATTAGGAACTCTTTTCACATTCTTGGCGAATATAAACTCTGCAACATATACAACGTATTTCAAATTCGATCCTCACCTTTGGGATCCCAGAAACTATGAGAGATACGAAGATGGTTAAATTGGGGCAAAGTTGCGCATTCACCTGACTAATAATATGCCGTTGAGAAAGTGCTGAAATTTCGTGTATATCCGGAGATATCCGGAACAAACAGAAATTTCAGAAAATGGTTTTCTGGCTTTATTATTCGATGGATTCGAAAATAAATTGCACTTCCACATTGCCACTTTCTCCCTGCTACATGATGGTGTTTTCAAATTTGCTATCCGACGTTTCGTATTACGGACACCATCATCCATGGGCGCTACATTGGATTCTATCTGTTTTAAATAGAACCAGATTTCCCCTTTTCAATAATGTATCATAAGTTTTAATTCATTTTCGAAAACTTGGAGATATTGAAAAAATTTATTCTTATTATAATAGGCTTTGATGTTTCTAAATATCATACGTACCTCATTTATCAATTTTTCTTCAGTTTCCTGGTCCATTCTGTCTGTAAATGACAAGAATTATTTTTTTTCAATATCTCCAATTTCTTTAAAAAGAATGATATATTATATACATCCACGAAAAGGTAAAATCTGGTTCTATTCAGAAAGAATCCAATGTATGGCCCACAAGAGAAAATAAAGTGAATCTTGGTGGCCGGAAGACGAAACGTCGGATAGCAAATCTGAAAATACCATTATGTAGCTGGAAAAAAGTAGCAATGCGGAAATGCCATTCATTTTTGAATCCTTTGAAAAATAAAACCATAAAAAATAAAAACCATTTTCCGAAATTTCTGTTTATCCGGATATCTCCGGATATACTCGGAATTTCAGAACTTCCTCAAAGGCAGATTGTTAGTCAGGTAAATAAATACGCAACTTTGTATTGCTGTGAGAATGATTGGGTAATTTTTTTAATTTCTATTTTACCATTATGTATAAGTTTTAAGTAAATTATAGCACCTATTTTCTGTGTACCAATTTTTAGATAGTTTTATTATGCTTGTGATATCAGCAACTCTATTTCTATATTTTTTACATGTTTATAAACACTGTGTACCCTCTGCTATATACTCTTACATACTAATTAGCTTCGTTAAGAAGCTGAGTTTATGTGGTCGAGTGTGAATTGGTGTGAGTCACAATAAACCCTTGCGGATTGCGGTGGAGGCTCGAATAGACCCACTCACTTTGGACCCAACCTAAACCTCTTGCTGTATATTAATGTATTGTTACTTTCTACAAATGTTTTCAACAAAACTTAGTCAAATGAAGTATCTATCTATCTATCATTATTTTATATTGAGTTTCCTTTAATATTTTGGGGTGCAGGAGTGAAGCTATTAGAAAATGTTTCTCATGAAAATTTAATTCATCAATGTATTGGAGTATTTACAGGATAAAAAGTAATTTTGTTTTGTATATTTGAAATCCGCCAGAAAATTACTTTAAAAAATATGGGATCAATTGCAGGTCAGTGCAAAAAGGGTACAAAAATGTTTCGAAAAAAAAGGGATGATATTTCTGATAAAAACAACCATTTTGTTGTATATTTGTTCGAATAATAGGTTCTTCTATTCCCTGATCAGAATATCATATCCCACCAGTATATAAACATTATATATATGGTTCCTCCACAGAACTCTAGTAATCAAAAGCGAAACTCAATTCTATTACTTCCAATGAACATAATAATAATGTAATAAAAATGTATCTTTTGAAGTTATAATTTATCGTGTCGACTAATTCAACCTCTTTTTGAATTTTGTATTATAATAAATAAGAAAGGTAGAAATTCAATGACAAGAATTATCATAGGCAGAATTCAAAACTCTCTGTTTTTTGTGTTCCAAAAAATCTTTCGAATATTTTATATAGAATAATATCGTATTATAAAAGTGAATGTAATCATAAAATATCACATTTCGTGAAAAAATCATCATTATAAAATAACGTCTACTGTGTAAAATTCATAAAGTTGTTCAATAATTGTAATAATAATTCATTTGTACCGAAGCACATATTTTGATGCATACTTTCTTAAACCCCTCCGATATTTTTCTGATATATGAAATATGGTATTTCTTGGATTTTTCTAAATACATATGGTCTTACTTTTATGAATGTAATATTTCCTTAACTCAGTCATACATGGTTCGAGAGGGTATCGATGATGGTGATAATCCTCAACTGTGTTACCTTAGGAATGTATCAGCCTTGTCTGGATAAGGATCCATGTACTACTAACAGATGCCAAATATTACAGGTGAGTGCTTTCATTTCAATCATCAACATACCATTTTTTATTATTGAAGACTGGTCAATAATTGAAAATATATTGCGGCAGTTGTCGCCAACAGCATATGCAGGAAGGAATAACTTCAATGAAGAATCCTTTTCTGACACCTGTCGGATATAATCCAACGCCCTTCGTGGTATTAGCCAGGGAAGTAGTTGTTTTTTGATAGGTGTCAGTCCTTCAACCTATAGTGTAGGGAGTTGAGACTGGCCTGAACGAATTGTTCCTTTAGTTTGAATTTCTAATGATTCGTTGGATACCAAATAATACATTATGTAAGTATTTTCAATACACTGGAAAAACTAAGCGCAGGTGATATAATTACTTTGCTAATCCCAATAATGGTCCTTATTTTGTCGAAATGAATAATTCTAAACTCCTGTCAACAATTCGTTAACTTGCAGTACAGAACTTGTTTTTCATGAAAACTGTTGTGATGAAGGATTCTTCATATAATTTTGTGCAAAACTCAATGCGAACTGAATTACTACTGACGAAATGGTTAAGGCACTAAATTACTACTTTTAGATTCATATTATTTATGAATCATTTATGATTCAACTTAGTTTCTTATTGGGAAAGGGCATCGATTCTTATTTTTATTCGAAAATCTCAAAAGGAATTAGTATCATAAGTGACGACATGTTGAGATATACTGTGCATTCCATTTCAAACGAGCCATCCTGAATAACTTTTGGTACAATGATTGGCAGGAAAAACAAAAAAACACATCAACAATGAATAGTATACAGCGGCAGCGGTCACATTTTGACATATTCACATTTGATGTTACACACATTGATCGTTTTGCATTATCAGATTTTCCATGATGAACAGATTTTAACAAAGTAGAATACATTATGGTCTGAAGCTCATAGTCTGAAAGCTAAAAATTATTTAAGTTGAAAACACGAGCCACCCTGAATGAAATTCTATACAATCTGTTACCTTAGTTTCATAGGTGTTTTTTGTGAAGTATACTTCAAAAAAGTCTTATTTTGCCTAGTTCAGTCTGAATTCGATATTCTCTTCATTTTGTATTTGTCTCATTCTACAATAACGATTACCTACCAGGTGAAGTTACAATTGGTGTTTCTGTTTTTTGCATTCTTGAGAAGCAATGGTTTATACGCTTCGAGAACGGATTGAAATAGTGAGTTTGTACTACCAGAATGGAAATAGTGGTAAAGCTGCAGATGCCCGTATGTTCAATATTAATCATACAGGAAAAAATCTACAACACAAATACGTTTCCGAATCATTGAATAAATTTATGGAAACTGGATCTGTTAACAATAAAAAGGATAACCGTTCAGGAGTTTTTAACGATGAAGATATTTGTACTGCAGTTTTAGGGCACGTTGGACTAATGGAAAATTCGCAATCTCTTACTGAGTTATCTCGAGAATCAGGAATCAGTTGTACAAATGTTTTCAGGATCCTTCATAAGTGGAAATTTTATCCAAATAAGATTAGACTAGTTCATGAATTGAACGAAGATGATTTCGACAGACGTATCTAGTTTCGTGGAAGTCTAAATGAACGGATCAACTTGCATCAGAATTTCTTGTATAAAATCTGTTTTTCGGATGAATGTACGTTTAGTTTGAATGGAGAAGTGAATCGGCAAAATTGTCGATATTGGAGCGATACGAATCGTCATACCCATAGACCTAATAAACTGAATGTTTGGGCAGGGATTTTAGGGGACCACATCATAGGACCTTTTTTATCGATGATAATTTGACTAGTGACGAATATTTGGATATGTTGGAGAATCGTATAGTACCGTGCAGCAATGGGGCAACTGAGGAGGATATAAATTTATTCGAAAACGAAATGATTTTTCAGCAGGATGGTGCATCTTCTTATCATGCAGCTCCAGTGCAACAATTTTTGGATGATCATTTTCCTGGTCGCTGGATTGGCAGAAGATGTCCTACAGAATAGGCACCAAGATCTCCGGATCTCACTCCTGTGAATTCCATTCTATAAGGTCATTTGAAGTCTAGAGTGTATGAGATAGAATTAACAACATCACAAGATTTAAGAGAGAATATCATGAGGCATTGCAGAGAAATAACTCCTGAGAAGAATGGGATGGCTAATGGCATCAAAAACATACAATGTTCCTTTTTCTACGTTGAGACGCCGAACTGATAACTCAAAAGGTGCCAGCAAAGGTTATCTAGGAGGCCACAAAATTACTTTCTCAAAAGAATTATAAACTGAGCTAGTAGCTTTTTCGGGATGTCAACTTTCAATGTAGGAAAACTAGCTTTTCAGATAACAGAAGCAAAAAATATTCCACATAGGTTTTCACGGGAGAAACAGTTGGCTGGCTGGGACTGGCTTAGAGGGTTTAGGCAACGAAATCCATTTATATCGCTCAGAACACCAAAATCAACTTCTGCTGCTCGTGTCCGTTCCTTCAACAAAGTGCGAATTGGAAATTTTTTCCAACGTTTATCAGATGTCATCCATCAATACTCGTTTGAACCAGGAGATATTTGGAATGTCGATGGATCTGGGTTGTCAACTGTTCCTTCTAAAAATGTAAAAATCTTCGCGTCTAAAGGGTGAAAACAAGTGGGTATTCTGAGTAGTGCCGGAAGTGTATGAATGCCATGGGGTCGTTTGTGCCGCCCGCTTTAATTTACCCCCGTAAAAATACAAATAACGAGTTATTGGATCATGCGCCACTAGGAGCGATTGGATTGATTCAAGAGAAAGGCTGGATGAATAGCAATGTATTTTTAAAATGGATTGAACATTTCATAGAATTCGCTAAACCAACACAAGAGTTTGGAAGTTATATCATACGCAAAAGAAAATGGTGTAGTGCTGTTTTGCTTTCCGCCACACTGCACCCATCGGGTGCAGTCTCTGGACGTGAGTTTTTATTCGGCTCTTCGTTCATACTATAATGAAGAGCTAACCACATGATTGAATAATCACCCAGGCAGGACTGTAACACATTTCCAAGTTGCAGAAATTTTCAGCCCAGCATATATGAAAACAGCCACTGTAAAGAACGCAACAAGTGGTTATTCTTCAACAGGCATTTGCCCCTTTAATGTCTTTCCACTGGATGTTTTGCCCTGCCGATGTTACTGATTTATCTATTGATGGAAGTATCCAGAGAGAACGGTCGAAAGAAGTTATTTCTATTGCTCCACGACCATCAGGTGTAATGAATAATAAGGCTGAGTTTGATGAAAATAGAGAAGTTGGAAGTATTTCTGTGGCAGAAATATCACCATTACCTAAAGCGTCAGCATTACAGAGAAAACATGTTAATAGAAGAAAAGGAAAATATAGAGTTATCAATACCACCACAGATATTAACTTAGCCAAGCAGCTAGTTGCTGACAGGGAAGCGCAAGCCCTAAGGAAATCCACCCGAGCTGCAAAAAAGGTCTCAATACCTGAAGAAGACTCTGAAAAGGATAGTAGCGATTCGAAGATTGAAAGTCACAACGACGATGCTGTTGCATGTATATTTTGTAACGAATTATATTTCCGTTCCCGTGCGGGAGAAACATGGGTACGATGTCAAAGATGTTTGAAATGGGCCGAGACCGAATACGGCGGCGTTTCTAAAGCAACAAAAGTATTTGTTTGCGATATATGCCAACTTTAGTGGGCAGTTTTACACTATGTAATCTCACCAACAATTGTGTCGATGAGATGGCATATGAAGAGTTTTTTTTTTAATTTGTACAGAAAACGTATGAAGGTTTTCGAAGTAATAAAGTTATGTTTCAATTATTAAGTGTCTCAAGTGTTCATTTCACTCTTTACCAATTCTGTAACTTCAAAGTGCTACTAGTAATTAAGTATGGAAAAAAAGTATGCCATCTCTGGCATATCTCGCCTACAATAAAAAGAGGCTTGGAGAAAATATGGATCCCTGGGGAACATCAGCGATGCTGGTGAAAGCATTCGAGAGACATCCATCGACGCCTACTTGCAGGGAACGTTCTTTCAAACTGAAGAGCCATACACAAAAATGATCCGACAAGCCATAGCATCAAAGTTCGGCAAGCAAACCCTCATGCCCTCAGGCCTTACAAATATCAAGTGCAACAGGTCTTGATTCTCTATGTTTCTCGATTGCGTTATTCCAAATATGGGTGACATACGATAGAAGGTCGCCTGTTGATCTTTGTTTCCGAAAGCAATATTGATGATCGCTCAAGATGTTGAAGCCTTCCAAATATTTGACGATAAGCGACTGGGCTATAGTTATTTGGAGGATTTTTTCTTGCCCTTTTTGGAAATAGGTTGAACGCGAGCAATCTTCCCATAAGAAGAAAAATCCTCTTCCTTGTGAGACAGGTTGAAAAGTCTGCAAAATACTGATGCGAGCCAATTTGTGCACTTTTCAAGTATGATGACGGGCACTTCATCAGGGCCAGGCGAGGCGCCTTGTTATTGTGAGTGAGTGCTTCCACTGCCTTCTAATGCAAGGCGTACACTGCAACCGGACGGCAAAGGACGGTAATATGCCGGGACGGGGATATGGCGTGAAGTTTCGTTTCTCTTTCAATAGTTTCTAATGGCGGGGCGCGCACTAAGGCAGGAAACGGACAGGAACATGCCAGGATATGAACAAGACCCGTCCCCCCATAAGCAAATATAGAAAGAGAAACGAAACTTCACGTCATGTTTCCGTTCCGGCATGCTCCCGTCCTGTCGCTTCGTGCATGGAACTTAACACGCCTCCGGTAGGCCAGACTATATCGAAATTGAGAAATCCCTTCTTGAATTTGACTAGCTGCACATTTGTTGTGATTTCAAATTCTCATCAAAACTGTAGCACTGTGACAATATCTTCTCAGAGCAAGAGGTTGTAATAGACATAGAAATCGATAATTTTGTGCAAATAATTCGTGATAAACGTGAAAAGTCAACTACTCCACGATCATTCATGAATGAATTAGCCTATATTGAAAAACATATTT